GCAGTGTGGTATCCGGCTCACTGCACCCGCCTCCCTGGGTTCACACCATTCTCCTGCCTCAGTGCCCACCACCACGCCCAGCTAATTTTTGTATTTTTAGTAGAGACGGGGTTTCACCGTGTTAGCCAGGATGGTCTCAATCTCCTGACCTCGTGATCCGCCTGCCTAGGCCTCCCAAAGTGCTGGGATTACAGGTGTGAGCCACCGTGCCTGGCCTATAATTCTTTTTATGTGGTGTTAGACTGAGTTTGCTAGCATTCTGTTAGGATTTTTGCATCTATATTCATAAGAAATATTGGTCTATAGTTTTCTTTTTTCTTTTCTTTTCCTTTCTATCTTTTTTTTTAATGAGACGGAGTCTCACTCTGTTGCCCAGGCTGGAATGCAGTGGCCCGATCTCGGCTCACTGCAAGCCCTGCCTCCCAGGTTCACGCCATTCTCCTGCCTCAGCCCCCTGAGTAGCTGGGACTACAGGTACCCACCACCACGCCCGGCCAATTTTTTTGTATTTTTAGTAGAGACGGGGTTTTACCGTGTTAGCCAGGATGGTCTCAATATCCTGACCTCGTGATCCGCCTGCCTCAGCCTCCGAGAGTACTGAGATTACAGGCATGAGCCACTGCGCCCAGACCAGTGTTAATTTAAAAAAAAATGTTTGGTAGGATTCATCAGTGAATCCATCCAGTCTTGAGCTTTTTTTTTTTTTTCTTTTTTTTTTTTTTTGAGACGAATCTTGCTCTGTTGCCCAGGCTGGAGTGCAGTGGCACGATCTCAACTCACTGCAACCTCTGCCTCCTGAGTTTAAGTGATTCTTCTGCCTTAGCCTCCCAAGTAGCTGGGACTACAGGCACACACCACCATGCCTAATTTTTGTATTTTTGATAGCGATGGGGGTTTTGCCATGTTGGCCAGGCTAGTCTCGAACTCCTGACCTCAGGTGATCCCCCTCCCACTTCAGCCTCCTAAAGTTCTGAGATTACAGACATGAGACACTGCACCCGGCCTTTTCTTTTCTTTTGAGACAAAGCCTAGCTCTATCTCAAAAGGTTGGAGTGCAGTGGAGTGCAGTGGTGCGATCTCAGTTGACTGCAACCTCCACCTTCTGGGCTCAAGTGATGCTCCCATTTCAGTTTCCTGAATAGCTGGCACTACAGGTGTGCCACCATGCCTGCTAATTTTTGTGTTTTTTCAGCCGGGGAGATTTTGTAGAGATGGGGTTTTGCCATGTTGCCCAGTCTGGTTGTGACCTTATGGCCTCAAGTGATTCGCTTGCCTCTGCCTCCCAAAGTGTTGGGATTACAGATGTAAGCCACCATGCCCAGTTTCTGGGCTTTTCTTTATGGGATGTTTTTGATTCCTAATTCAATCTCTCGTTACAGGTCTATTCAGATTTTCTATTTCTTCTTGAATCAGCTATTATAGCTTGTGCCTTTCTAGGAATCTGTTCATTTCATCTAGGTTCTCTAATTTTTTGACATACAATTGTTCACAGTATGTCCTTATATGCTTTTTTTTGGGGGGGGGGTAAAGTCAGTAGTAATATATCCCTGTTTCATTACCGATTTTAGTTCTTTTAATCTTCTTGATCTTAATTTATTTCTTTATTTTTAGTAAGACAGGGTCTTGCTCTGTCATCCAGGCTGGAGTGCAGTGGCATGATCATGGCTCACTGCAGCCTCCACCTCTCAGGCTCAAACAATCCTCCTACCTCAGTGTCCCTAGTGGCTGGGACTACAGGCATGCATCAACACACCGAGCTAATTTTTAAAATTTTTTGTAGAGATGAGGTCTTGCTATGTTGCCTGGAACACCCAGGCTCAAGTGATCCTCCTGCCTCAGCCTCGAAAAGTCCTGAGATTACAGGCATGTGCCATCATGCCTGCCCTAATTAATTTTTAATTCCCAAGGTTATGAATTAATACATTCTTGTAAAAATTCAAACATTCAACCTGGGCAACATGGCAAAACCCTGTCTCTACAGAAGAAAAAAAAAATTAGCCAGGCATGGTGGCATGCGCCTTTAGTCACAGCTACTTGGGAGGCTATGGTAGGAGGATTGCTTGAGCTGGGGAGGTGGACATTACAGTGAACCAAGATTGCACCACTGCATTCCAGTCTGGGTGACGGAGTGAGACCCTAGCTAAAAAAAAAAAAAAAAAAAAAAAAAAAAAAAAAAAAAAAAAAAAAAAAAAAATTTCAAACACTGCAGATAAAACGAAAGCCTTGATTGCCACCTGCAGCCTCAAACCCTTCCACAGAGGTAGCCCTATTATCGGTTTGGTGTAACATGGTTACTATGTAGCATAATTACATAGTTAAGCCACTGCATTCTTTTCTATTACTGCATAACAAATTACTATAAATTCAGCAGCCCAAAACACGAATTTATTTTCTCACATATTCCATGAGTCCAGGTACTGGTTGGCTGAGTCCTCAGCTCAGGGTCTTATCAGGCTGAAATCAAGGTGTTGGCTGGGTTGGCAATCTCATCTTAGACTCTGTGTGTGTACTTTCCCAAGTTCAGTGGTTGGTTGCCAGAATTCAGTTACTTCTGTTTGTAGGATTAAGGTGCCCACTTTCTTATTGGCTGTCACCCAGGAGCCTTTTTCAGCTCCTGGAATCCACCTGCCATTTCCTGCCGTATGGCAGTTTGCTCCTTCAAGGTGAACAGGACAGCTGTGCTGTGGCTTCAAATCTCTTAGATTCTGTCTCTGACCTCTAGCACTGATTTAAAGGGCTAGAGTGATAAGATTAAGCCCATTAGGATAAATCACCTCCTTTTTGACTGTCTCAAAGTTAACTGATTAGGGACTTTAATTACATCCTTGTCATATAAGCTAACCTAATTACAGGAGTGATGCTCTATCATATTCACAGTTCTGTTTTCTTTGAAGGGGAGAAATGTATACAGGATGTGTACATCATGGGGTACAAATCTTGGTATACATCTTACAATTGGGCCTCTTACAGCCAACCATAAGAACTGTCCAAGCAATAGAGGTAGTTAATACGGCCTTTTATAATCAATATAGATTGTTTGAAAATGTGAGATGTCCATGGTTGGCCACTGATAACATAGGTTTCACAGCAAGCATATATTCAAGTAGGAGAGATGGCGATATAGGCAGAAAAATCAAATGATGCTAAACAAAAGAAAATCATTCTTGATTTTGAAAGAATTCAACTTGCTGTATATCTTTTGCCTAAGCCTTCAGTCAGCCTTTGCTCTACATCTACCGATGTGATCATTGCTTTTCCTTTTGACTTCTTTAGGTGGGTCAAGAGTTTGCTTTTCTCCCCATTCATGAGTGTAAAGTTTAATGCCTAACCGAACTTGCTTCCTTCTTTGACTCGTGTGTAGACTTGGGTACACTGGGGCAACATTTTTTTGTGTTTTGCTCTACCAGGTCATCCCTATTCCGTGGGACTAGTGTCTAGCCCCATTTCTTCAGCAGTGGAGCCTACGATGTAGAGTTGCATGTTACCATTAGGAGGCGCACCCTCAGGCCTCGGCTCCGCGTTCTTTATGTCTCTGGACCGCTCTCTCTCGCAGCTCATCTCTATGGTTTCCGTTGGGTGTGTGTTTTGTTTTTTGTTTTTTTTTTTTTTCCCGTCCGGAATAGGCGGAGCTTCCGGTTCCGGCGGGGGCCGTCCCTGGCGGCGGAGATGGCGGCGACAGCGGCGGAGGCCGTGGCCTCTGGCTCTGGAGAGCCCCGGGAGGAGGCCGGAGCCCTCGGCCCCGCCTGGGATGAATCCCAGTTGCGCAGTTATAGCTTCCCGACTAGGCCCATACCGCGTCTGAGTCAGAGCGACCCCCGGGCAGAGGAGCTTATTGAGAATGAGGTGGGGGGCGGGGCCGCGTCTAAAGGGAGAGGAGGAAGGTACCCGGTTGAGAGGTCAGAGGCGAATGGTGAAAGAGTTGGGAGACTGGCAGGGCTCTAGACTAGGGCATATGGGAAGATGGAGAGAAAGGCGAGGAGATACGGAACTTGAGGGGTTCGTGCTGATTAACGGGAGAAATTATTCTGAAGTTGAGAAGTAGTTGGGATCATGGAGGCGAACCCACCGACTTCTTGGCATGACTTTATTTGATGTTTTTCACCTGTTGCTTTCATTTAGGAGCCTGTGGTTCTGACCGACACAAATCTTGTGTATCCTGCCCTGAAATGGGACCTTGAATACTTGCAAGAGAATATTGGCAATGGAGACTTCTCTGTGTACAGTGCCAGCACCCACAAGTTCTTGTACTATGATGAGAAGAAGATGGCCAATTTCCAGAACTTTAAGCCGAGGTCCAACAGGGAAGAAATGAAATTTCATGAGTTCGTTGAGAAACTGCAGGATATACAGCAGCGAGGAGGGGAAGAGAGGTAAATTCCTAAATCTTAATTTTCTGTTGGATTTAGGGCAGTCATTTTTCTTTCCCATACTTGAAGGTGTGGCAGAATTGGGTCAGTTAGAGATTGGCCTCTCCCATCTCTGGATTCCTGTTGAAGGAGTAGTCTGGTCTTCCAGCCTTTAAGGGGTTTGAGTTCTTAGTGGTTCTTGGTGCCACAGCCAGCTAGTTCTGTAGCTTGAGGGATGGGGGAATGATTAAACTTCGGCTATGAATCTCTGGGTTCCCATCTTCTTCCTCATAAAGTGAGAGTTAGTTGCCTAGAAGGGTCAGGCAGGTGAATGAAAGGAGTAATATTTTCTGTGTGAAATCAGTGATGAAGCTGAAGGCATAAGCCCTGTTCAAAGTGAGAAGCCAAGGTCGGGGTGGCTCATGCCTGTAATCCCAGCACTTTGGGAGGCAGAGGCAGGATAATTGCTTGAGCCCGGGAGTTCAAGACCAACCTGGGAAACGTGGTGAGAGCTAGTCTCTACAAAATTAAAAACTAAAACAAAAAACCATAGTGAGACGTCATTACTTGACCTTGCTTGCTTCAGTTTTGGAGTGCAGTTCTAGGGTTGCAAGATATTCCGATTTTCAAGAGAAGTTCAAAATCAGGACTTTTATTTAAAATCTTTTGACTTTAAATGCGAGCAACTAAATCAGATTTAAAGAAAAAAAGTTGCAGGGGGTCAAACAAAAATGTTTGTCACTGGATTTTGCTCTGAAAATGCCTGTTTGTAGCTATTGTCCTTAAGTATTGTGATGACTGGGCATAGTTCAACCTGAAAAGTTGTATAGTTTGTTGTGATTTTGGAGTAAAGAAGGTCGGGATTCTCTAGCTTAGGAAAGATCAGATGAAATTTGTTTTTCCTATCACAACAGAAACACAAGACACATAAGAGAGTGATTCTTCCTCTTTGCTTTTATTCCTGCTTATGAGGACAGCCTCTTATGTAGGTCCCAGACAGTATTCAGTACCACGCTATAACACCGCCTCTGGGGAATTGCTTTCGCTGAGTACTTCATGGTGAATGACCCTCTCGCATTTGGTGTCCAACCCTGGGTTTCCTCTCTAGTCTCTTGCTTCACTCACTCCTGTTCCTGACGCCTTTTCAGCAGTCTGTGGCTACGTGAATGGATTTGAAATATCTTTTTTTCTTCTTCTTTACACTTAGCAGTTGTCATAATGATGGGATTTTTGACCAGAAGAATTTCCAGGATATGAACTGTGATTGATCTGTCCATGATGTCTTAATATATTGGTTCAGCTGAGTTGTCTCATGCATTAATTTTCTAAAATTTAACACAGTGTGCATGTGTACACTTCCATACACACACACCCAACTTTGAGAAAAAGTTTGATTTAAATGATGCTGTTGGAGTGTGTAATTCCATTGAATGAACATATACCCAAGAATAAGTGTAAGATATGTGAATCTTGTGATTCTTCAGTGACTTGAAGTTTCTAGCCTCCCATAGTGAGAGCATTTTGTGTAAGAATGAGTGTAATTTGTACTTTATGGGTGATTAAAGAGTTTTCAAGGAAAATCTTTAATTGTTTGGAAGTTTTGCCCTATTAGCTGACTTTAGCACCGACCAGCTTCATGTATGATTGGACAGGTTGTTGTGATTATGGGGTGAAATGTATTAGGATCCTCTGAGCTATTTTGAGCATTTACCATTCTGGTGTAATAATGTTTAGATTCATATTTGGGGAGTATCACTGACTCTTTCAAAGTTACTTGCTTATTTTTTGGGTGAATATATAATTATTACCTTTGGGGAGAGTTGCATTGAGTCTTGAGGATTCCATGTTCCTACAAAGGTAGTGTTTCCAACTTATCAAGATTTCCTATTAAGGCTGGGCGTGGTAGCTCACACCTGTAATCTCAGCCCTTTAGGAGGCTGAGGCGGGCAGATATCTGAGGTCAGGAGTTCAAGACCAGCCTGGCTAACATGGTGAAACCCCGTGTCCACTAAAAGTACAAAAATTAGCCGGGCATGGTGGCGCATGCCTGTAGTCTCAGCTACTTGGGAGACTGAGGCAGGAAAATTGCTTGAAGCCAGGAGGCAGAGGTTGCAGTGAGCCGAGATTTTGCCACTGCACTCCAGCCTGAGTGACATAGTGAGACTCCATCTCAAAAAAAAAGATTTCTGATTAACATTGCCTTAAACATTTAGATTCTAGGCAGTGAGATGCCTTAAACATTGAGATTCTAGGCAGTGGGATGCCTTTGAACCTTTTTTTTTGAGACAGGGTCTTGCTCTGTCACCCAGGCTGGAGTGCAGTGGCGTGATCTCAGCTTACTGCAACCTTCGCCTCCCAGGCTCAAGCGATCCTACCACGTCAGTCTCTTGAGTAGCAGGGACCACAGGCATGTACTGCCACCACCATGCCCAGCTAATTTTGTGTTTTTTTAAATAAACTATTTATTTAAATAAAGTTTTGCCATGTTGCCCAGGCTGGTCTCGAACTCCTGAGCTCAGGCAATCCACCTCCCTTGGCCTCCCCAAGTGCTGGGATTATAGGCATGAGACACCACACCTGGCCCCTTTGAGCCTTTTGAAGTAATGATCTCAGGACCAGGACAGAGATACAGAGATGCTTCTGTCTTTTTTTTAGGTTTTCACACTTATTAAATGTCTCTTGCGGGCTTATTCAAGTGTGTTTGGGTTTTCGTATCTCTTAAGTAACTTATGACTTTCCTCAGGTATGTTAGGAGCCTGAGGCCTTTACCTGATAAGCTGTCTCCCTTACTTTAGCTGTAGAGGGCTGCAAAAGGATAGATGGCTGAATCAGTTAAGATAAACTAGGCTTCAAGCCAGAGCTCGGGCTAGAAACAACAGAGGCTTATTTCTCACTTACTACATGTTGATCATGGGTAATGTCATATTGTTCTTTACATCATCTTACTCTCTCTGGCACCCAGATTGCCCCAGCAGCTACTATCTGGAATTGGGAGTTGCTGTGGCAGAGAGAAAGAGATGTGATAATGGTGACTGGTTCTTAAATTATAGTTGGAAACAGCACAAGTCACTTCTGTGGACATTTCCTTGGCCAGAGCAGGTTAAATAAGCAAGCCTGGCTTCAAGGGGATATGAAAGAAAACTTCCACACTGAGGGAACCAGCTCTTGGCGAACAGTAATACAATTTACCACAGTGGTCATCAAGAGCCAAAGGAGATGTCTCAGGCTCTGCAAGTCTCTGGTATAAGACTGAGTCATCATTCTAGGGTCTATGGATAGGCTTCTAGGAATCTGAAATTATATGAAAGTTCTGGGTGTATGTGCATTTTTGTGGGGAACCTCCGTGGATTCTTTCATTTATTTATGTATTTATATTTTTTTGAGACGGAGTCTTGCTCTTGTCACCCAGGCTGGAGTGCAATGGCACGATCTCAGCTCACTGCAACCTCTGCCTCCCAGGTTCAAGTGGTTCTCCTGCCTCAGCCTCCTGAGTAGCTGGGACTTCTTCTTCAGATTCTTTTTTTTTTTTTTTTTTTTTTAAGTTTTATTTTTCATCTCACCCTCCTACTCTTTGGATTCTTAAAGGAGTCATTCTGTGACCCAAAAAAGGTTAAGCATCACTTCTTTAAAGAAAAAGTTTGGGGACCAGTTGCAGTGTCTCACACTTGTAATCCCAGCACTGTGGGAGGCAGAAACAGAAGGATTGCTTGAGCCCAAGAGTTTGAGACCAATCTGGGCAACATTGTGAGACCTTGTTTCTTAAAATAAAACAAAACAATAAATTAAAAAGTTTGGTGTTAAACATAACTCAATGAAGGATAAGTAAGAATTCAGTTGTATGAGAATCCATGTTGGCTAAGATTTGCCTGACTATATCTGTTCTCTGTGGGAGATGCTGGTATGGATTTGGGCTTGTATTTTCAGATGTGGAGAGGCCATGCCAGGGGCTGCGTGTGCATGCACTAATAGGATTTTCTTCTTGGGGAACATAGGTTGTATCTGCAGCAAACGCTCAATGACACTGTGGGCAGGAAGATTGTCATGGACTTCTTGGGTTTTAACTGGAACTGGATTAATAAGCAACAGGGAAAGCGTGGCTGGGGGCAGCTTACCTCTAACCTACTGCTCATTGGCATGGAAGGTAAGAAATCTTTCAAAAGCAGCATGGCTCGGAGTCATATGAACCTGATTTCTAATCTTGTCTCCACCGCTTATTAGCTCCATGACTTTGAACAAGCCGTTTCACTTTCTTAAGCCTCAGCCTACTTAGCTCTAAAAGAAACATAATAGGGGCTAGGTGCCCTGGCCCACACCTGTAAACCCAGCACTTTGGGAGGCTGAGGTGGGCGGATGATGACGTCAGGAGATGGAGACCATCCCGGCCAACATTGTGAAACCCCGTCTCTATTAAAATACAAAAACAAAAATAAAAAATTAGCCAGGCATGATGGCATGCACCTGTAGTCCCAGCTACTTGGGAGGCTGAGACAGGGGAATTGCTTGAACCCGGGCAGTAGAGGTTGCAGTGAGCCAAGATCACGCCACTGCACTCCAGCCTGGCGGCAGAGCAAGACTCTGTCTCTAATCCCAGCACTTTGGGAGGCTGAGGCAGGAGGATTGCTTGAGGTCAGAAGTTTGAAGCTGCAGTGAACTATGATTGCACCACTGCACTGCAGCCTGGGCAATAGAGTGAGGCCCTGTCTCTAAAAAAAATAAGTGGAAAGAAATGAAACATGATAATGTCTTGTAAATAGTTGTGAAGATTAAATGAAATAATGTATGTTGAGTCTTTTTTTTTCTTTTGAGACGGAGTCTCACTCTGTTGCCCAGGCTGGAGTGCAATTGCGCGGTCTCGGCTCACTGCAACCTCCGCCTCCCGTGTTCAAGTGATTCTCCTGCCTCAGCCTCCCGAGTAGCTGGGACTACAGGCGTGCGCCACCACACCTGGCTTATGTCAAGTCTTTAAACTAGTTTCATGTGTTCTAAAAAGTTCCCTTTTCCCTTCCTTAGCTGTTATGTGAGTGCATATACTGAGATACTAGGGACCTCTCTGAAATATAGACATGTGATGCTTAATGTCAGGGATACATTAAATGTGTTGTGTTGTTAGGTGACTTCATCATTGTGCAAACATCATAGAGTATAGTTACACAAACCTAGATTGTGTAGCCTGCTGTATGCCTAGGCTATATGATATAGCCTCTTGACTACACCATGTAGTACATGGTGTTAGCGTATTACTGTACTGAGTATTATAGGCAGCTGTAACACAGTGGTAAGTATTTGGGTATCTAAACATACCTAAATATAGAAAAGGTATAGTAAAAGTACAGTATCAAAATACTGCAGGAAAAAGGTGACAAAAGACAAAATATATATAAAGGATAAAAAATGGTAGTTTGGGAATTTTTTTATTGCCAAAAAAAAAAAAAGATAATGGTATACCTGTATAGGGCTGCTCCATTATAATCTTATGGGAGCGCTGTCGTAGATGTGATCTGTTGTTGACCAAAATGTCATTATGTGGCACATTACTGTACATTTTCTCTACTAGATCTATGTTCAGAAAATTTTTATCCCAGTAAAAGAGGAGAAACTTATTTTTTTAGTATAAATTAAGTTTTATCTTTTAAATAGATAGTATATTCATGGAGTTCAAATTCAAAACGTGTAAATAGGTATATAGTGATAAATATTAATACCTCTTCCACCTCTATCTCTTAGCCTCCCAGTTTCTTCCCTGGAGGTACTGCATATTATTAGTTGCTTGTGTTTTCTGCTAGATAAATGTATGCATACACTAATAAATATGTGAATGTGTTTTTGTGTTTTTTCCCCCTTTTGAATGAAAGGAGAGACTCTTAAACTCCACTCAGGAGAATGAGAGCTTTTTATGAGGCAGGGTCATTGTCTCATTCTTATTTTTATTTCTGGCAGTAGCACGGTGCCATGCCCATGGTAGGTACTTAGTAAATGGTGAATAACCTGGGTTGAACAGGGAAGCAGAGAAATTATTTATTGTCATTCACCACTGATCTCCTTGGTTTCTTCTTGTTTGATGGTCCATTCTTCAGATTTGGATCTTTTGCTGCTGGTACTAATAAAGATTTCCAGCCATGTGGCTTGTGAATTGACACCACCTGCCTCTTTTTTTGTTTTTGTTTTTGTTTTTTATTGAGACAGTGTCTCGCTCTGTCACCCAGGCTGGAATGCAGTGGCATGATCAGGGCTCACTGCAGCCTTGACCTCCCAGTCTCAAACGTTCCTCCCACCTCAGCCTTCCAAGTAGCTGGGACTACAGGCATAAGCCACCATGCTTGGCTAATTTTTAAAGTATTCTTTCTGGAGAGATGGGGTCACCCTATGTTGCCCAGACTGGTATCGAACTCCTGGCCCCCTCTCACCTTGGCCCCCTAAGTGATCCTCTCACCTTGGCCCCCTAAAGTGTTGGGATTACAGATGTGAGCCATTGTGGCTGGTCTTACCTGCCCCTTTGAAACCAACTCTTGGTTGACCTTCCAAGAAAGAGCCAGTTCTGGTTTACTTGACTCTTTTTTTTTTTTTTTTTTGAGACAGAGTCTTGCTCTGTCGCCCAGGCTGGAGTGCAGTGGCATGATCTCAGCTCACTGCAACCTCCAGCTCCCGGTTCACGCCATTCTTCTGCCTCAGCCTCCCAAGTAGCCGGGACTATAGGCGCCCGTCACCACGCCCGGCTAATTTTTTTATATTTTTTGTAGAGACGGGATTTCACCGTGTTAGCCAGGATGGTCTCGATCTCCTGACCTCGTGATCCACCTGCCTCGACCTCCCAAAGTGCTGGCATTACAGGCGTAAGCCACCGTGCCCGGCAGTTTACTTGACCCTTATGTCTTTCTGTTGCCTGCGTTTCCTGTGGTAGGGTGCATGGAAGTGGATCCCTCAGGTAGAGATGAGAGAGCAAGTCTCCTTTGAGGATGCATGTGGACTTTCATCACTTAAGAAAGCATCTGTCTTGGCATACTCAGACAGAGCTGGGGAATATTTTCTAAATTCCGTGCCCTGCAAAAGTGTGTGTGTTCAACTCATGGACTATGCAAAGGCCAAACAGCAGACATGGTACTAGTTATAAAGGAGTAGATGGAACATACACTAGGGCACAACCAATTCAAGTTGGCATTTAAAATAATGTGCTATATTTAAATTATACAACACTCTCTTCAGTCGTCTGATATTCTTCCCTCCAACAAAAATCACTTGCACCAGTGAGCCCCAGTGTTGCTCTAAGAAGTGTTGTCTTGGCTGGATGTGGTGGCTCACGCCTGTAATCTTAACACTTTGGGAGGCTGAGGCGGACAGGTCCCTTGAGCCTAGAAGTTGGAGACCAGCCTGGGCAACATGGTGAAACCCCGTATCTTAAAAAAACAAGTGTTGCATCCCTTAGGTGTATTGAAGTGGGAGGAAAGGTTGAGAGTCTTTAAGTTCCACAGAGCTACCCTAAGTAAATACAGAGCTACATAATCATTAAACTTAGAATGACTGGTTAACTCCTCACATGTATGTTGTTGATACTAGTCATTTCTGTTTTGCTTCCCTTGAATTCTTGCCATAGTCAAGAAGAGTACACGTATACACAGTTGATTACCCTACCTGATTTTTGAGTATCATTTTGATGTGCTCTTGCTTCCAGTAAGGGCAGCAGCCTTCATTTAGGGAAGTTGACTTAGCTGATAGTGGACCCTTAACCAGTGATGTTTGCTAGAGTTATTACCATACATGCTTAACACCTAATTTTCTGAGAGTTGTAATTGGAATTTCCCTGATTCTGCCTAAATTTTGATTTGGAACTCTTAGCTGGGAGGGCAGGCTGGATTTCTCTGTAGCACTGCGTCCTATATTCCAGCTCGTGCAATAGAACCACTGCTCTGCATAAGAAAATGCCTTTCTTCTTACAGGAAATGTGACACCTGCTCATTATGATGAGCAGCAGAACTTTTTTGCTCAAATAAAAGGTTACAAACGATGCATCTTATTTCCTCCGGATCAGTTTGAGTGCCTCTACCCATACCCTGTTCATCACCCATGTGACAGACAGAGCCAGGTGAGCTTGTGTGGTCTTGAGAAGGGTATAGAACTCTAGATTCTAGAAATGCCTAGGCTGGAATGTGTTTCCCCTTCTCTGTAGTGATATGCCAGGTTTGGATTACACGCTATTCTTGCTTTAACACACCAAGAGGATAATTTCATTGTAGCTCACAAATTCCAGGCTCCCTGGAGTGGCCACCAGATGTTCGTAAGTATAACTAGCCTCACAGAGCTAATTCTCGGGACAGACCCTGTCATTGATGCTGATGGACTCTGGTTACTCTGTTTGATTGGCTTATAAGTTCATGGAACAAAATGTGTATATCTCCATTGGATTTAATCATTGTTTGCTTTTGTCATGGATGCTATTTCTATTTGATAAGCATCAAAAATCCTTTTTGATAAGCAGAAGGGTGAATAAAACTGAGCTATGTGGTTTAATATATTTCCTGGATCTAACTGTGGCCAGCCAAAGATATCCTTTCCTTTCTTCAGAAAGCTGTCTAGCTACTTCATGTAGGAGTCTTTGCTGGTTAGAATATGTTTTTGGGAGAAAGTTTCTGAAGGTTTGGGTGGAGGATAATTCCTAATTTGTCATATTCTCGGCTGTGGGTCGTCTGATCTCAGGAGCACTGAAGCCTAGGCTGCTTTGTCACTTAACATTCAAACATGGACTGTCTTGTATTGTTTTCTCTCAGAGTTTAATGTGCATTATGTCTTCTGCTGGATATAAATTCTGAAGACTTTTTTTAAGGCATCTTTTTTTGTTTGTTTTTACTGCCAAACTGGCACATAGTAGTTTTACTGATAAAGATTTGGTGATTGACCTTTTTTTTTCTTTCTTTTGAACCTCTTAGGTGGACTTTGACAATCCCGACTACGAGAGGTTCCCTAATTTCCAAAATGTGGTTGGTTACGAAACAGTGGTTGGCCCTGGTGATGTTCTTTACATCCCAATGTACTGGTGAGAAGGGGGCTAGGGCTGGGGGCTTCTTGGGAGCTTTCTTTTCCATTCCCTGGAAAGCCTTGTCTGTGTCCCTTCTGAGTTATGGCATGATTGGTTTTATGTGGTCCATAGGAAGGTTGGCATATCCAGATGTGAGCGTACTGAACCTGTGGGAGGTAGTGGGGGGAGTGATAGCCCTATCTCTAGGACAGGATGAGAATTCTTCAAGTCCAAAAAGGTTCCAGAGGCTTGAGCCTAGATAAATTGTTCTTGGCTCTTTGGTATTTAGAGACTGAACACCAGTACCTCTAACCCCCCAGTGTGTGTTTTTTCACAGGATGAGTGTAAAGATATTATCTTCATTGTTTTCCTTAACTGCACTCTACCTAGTTTTTCAGCCTGTCCCCCACGCCCCAACACTCCACCTCCTCACCCCCCACCGAAAAGTATCAGTAGTAAACAGAAGCCTGTTTGTTTTCTTGCAGGTGGCATCACATAGAGTCATTACTAAATGGGGGGATTACCATCACTGTGAACTTCTGGTATAAGGTGAATATGGTTTACTTTTTTTGTTTTTTCCAGATGGAACTGGCTCTTGGGTGAGGTAGGTATAATAAATGATTTTGGATGGGATGGTTGATTATCCCTGGAAGTGATTCTCAGGTATCTGGAGAGATGAAGAGGGATAGGATTGAATTGGGTTTCTTTTTTTTGAATATATTTTTTGAGACACAGTCTTGCTCTGTCACCCAGGCTGGAGTGCAGTGGCGCGATCTCAGCTCACTGTAACTTCTGTCTCCTGGGTTCAGGTGATTCTCCTGCCTCAGTCTCCTGAATAGTTGGGACTACAGGCACACGCCACCATGCCCGGCTAATTTTTGTATTTTTAGTAGAGATGGGGTTTCACCATGTTGGCCAGGCTGGTCTCAAACTCCTGACCTCAAGTGATCCACCCACCTTAGCCTCCCAAAGTGCTGGGATTACAGGCCTAAGCCACCGTGCCCAGCAAGAATTGGGTTTCTTAGAAGGGAGGATGGTACTAAGAACAGTAGAGTGACACTGACGCCTGCTGCTGAAGGCATTTCCTGAGCTACTGCTTCCTTTGTAGGGGGCTCCCACCCCTAAGAGAATTGAATATCCTCTCAAAGCCCATCAGAAAGTGGCCATAATGAGAAACATTGAGAAGATGCTTGGAGAGGCCTTGGGGAACCCACAAGAGGTATGTGACCGCCCCAAGGTGGCTCAGTGGGTTGGTTGACCAAGGAAAGTCAGGATCGGAGTGACATTCTTTACAGCTTCTGTGTTTCAGTATCTGGTGTCCTCTTGTCTCCATAGAGGTTATGGGTATGTTCAGAAAAATTCTTGTTTTCTGATGATAGCTGGGCTTGACTGGCGGATCAATTATAATTAGTTCCATGCTAGTAGTAATGTTCCCCATGGGGCTTGTGCGCCATCTGGGAACCCCCTGAGGGGATTCTTCTGGAACAGGAAGCGAGCACTAAAGCATCTCCTTGCACTTTCCCAGCTGTGCCAGGGCTGCTGTAGGTAATGTTGAGAGACCTGCTTCCCACACAGGTGTGCCAGTGGCCCTTTGGGTAAATGGGGGAGGTTTGTATTTGTGGGGTTCTTGCCTCCCTCTTGTAGGTAAGCTCAGCATCCGCAGACACCTCTGGTGTTGGGAGATAGCATCAGCCCCAGTTGCAGGTGATAGTTTTTTGAGGATATGGAGGCAGTTAACATTCTGGAGAAACATGCAGACGCTCTTGGATGTGTGGGGATTATTAGCTCCTCTGACCATTTCTGTCCATTTGGGGCTGATTACAGTAAGAGACAGGGTGTTGTGAGAGGGAAGAATAATAGTACAAGATGGACCCCTGAGGAAAAGGTATGTCCCAGAATACTGGGTTGGCCTTCAGGAACATAGGTGATTAGAGGATTCACAAGATTGTATGAAAGCATTGTCTCTGTCCTTGGCTGGACATCTGATATCTCCAGACACACCCTGTCCAATTCCAGGGCCAGGGAACGGCCAGTTCTGATTGGCTCCTAATGTTTCTTTACAGGTGGGGCCCTTGTTGAACACAATGATCAAGGGCCGATACAACTAGCCTGCTGGGGGTCAAGGCCTCCTGCCAGGTGACTGCTATCCCGTCCACACCGCTTCATTGATGAGGACAGGAGACTCCAAGCGCTAGTATTGCACGCTGCACTTAATGGACTGGACTCTTGCCATGGCCCAGGAGGCAGGTGTTCGGGGCGAGGCAGGGCAGTTGACACTCCACTCCTATTTGGAGGAACTTCATACCCTTGCCTCTTGTGCCCCAGCACCTTCTGTCTCTGCCCCCCGCCTAAAGTCCTGCATTCAGTGTGTGGAGTCCCAGCTTTTGGTTGTCATCACGTCTGTGTGTATGTTAGTCTGTCCACTTCGGAATGTGTGTGCGTGTGTGTGCATGCACACGCATGTATGTATCTGTTCCCTGTTCCTTTTGGGTCAGGCTGTCACTTCTGGCTCTCAGCCCTATCTCCTGCAACCTCAGTGCCTCAGCCTGGGAGAGAGAGAGGAGATGCTCTTGGACTCCCCACTGCATCTGGGCTGCAGGGCCAGAGCTAGTCTGACCATTAGGTCAGTCTGCCTCCTGACAGTTTTTGTATAGTCATGCTCTAGGTGGTGTGGGAATGGCTACTGGGACTAATGGGGTGAAAGAGAGAGGAGGCTTGCCTTTGAGAGCCTAGATAGCCTTCCTGTGAGAGAGGATTAGATAGGGTTCCAACTGGGCCTACAAGCTCAAGCCATACATAAAAGGATCTTGGGACATAAGAACCAATGATTGTGCATAAGTTCCAAATTACAGACACGTACAATTTCTGTCTTTCAGCACCAGCTCTTGCCCCTATGCTGGGTACCAAGGGAGTTCTCCTAGCTGTGGCTTCTCTAGGTTCTAGGGGTGCAAGCCTCTGTGTGTGTGTGTGTGTGTGTGTGTGTGTGTGTGTGTGTGTCTCTGTGTGTGTATCCACACTACGGGTGCAAGCCTCTGTGTGTTTGTGTGTGTGTGTGTGTGTGTGTGTATCCACACTGGCCAGCCTCCCTACTTACCAAGGTTCTCCACTGCTTACCTTTTCCAGTGGGACAGTACAGTGTGAGCCCCCGGGAAGTACTGCCTGACCTATCCTAAGCTTTTATACTTGGATTTTAGCCATCATATGTTAGCCAGGTCTCACTGCAGCCTGCCCGAGGCTAACTGGCTAGAGCCTCCAGGCCCTACAATGCTCCCTGCCCAGGACATATCCTTTACTCCTGTTGAGCTTCCTGGCTGAATAGATGAAATGGGGTCAAGCCCAGGCAGCTCACTCACTACCTGTGATCCACCTCAGGGCACGGGCAAACACATAGGCTTGCCTCTTAAAGCCAGCTCCTCTGCCAGACGCCATTGTAATGTGCCACAACACCCTCAGTAGTCAGGGCAACTGGTAGAGCATGGAAGTTGAATTTCCTTTTCTGTTAGGAGCTACTCATGGGAACCCCTCTCAGAGCTGCAGCTTACAGGTGGGCAGCTGTGATTGCACAACTTGAAGGGCGATCATTCTCATCTATTCAGTGGGAGTGGGGCCTCTGGGATTGGGCAGTGTGGTGGCCCTGTGTCTCCTCACCTCTGCTCCTGTCTTCCTTTTCTCTCTGGAAGGGAAGAGGAGTTGGAAGGTCTTTGGCTTTCTTTTCTTTTCTTTTTCCTTTTTTTTTTGCCAAAGGTTTACTTCCAGCATCTGAGCTCTGGCTCTCACCCCTGAAGCTCAGTTTATAGTGCACTGATGAACTAACTGAGAGGATGCGTGTGTATGCGTGTGCATGCCTGAGTTTGCTTTTTGGGGAGGGGTGTTTATTTTTAGTACCCCATTCTGGGGTTCTCTGATGCAGTGTGGATGTGAAGACATGGTATCTTCTGAAGTGTAGCTCTTTCAAATATAGTCAATGCTGGGAAATGTGATTGTAGTGATCTCCATCCCTCCACTTCTTTTGGGAAAGAGGAGCACAGGAGTGGTGCCACAGTCACACTTGGAAAGATAGTAGATTGTTTTCGTTCTCAGCAGGTCTGCTGTATTCCTGGCTCAGCCCTCAAAGGTGTGGGTGATATGTCAAGGAGGCATGCACTCAGCTGGTCCTTGCTGGGTTCTGTGCTGACACAGGTCTCACCTAAGGTGGCCGTGGGGTGGGAGGGAGAAGGCTCATCTTGGAACCTTCACAGGATTGGCCTTGATCCTTGGGTAATACAAGAGTGATCCTGATTTTTAGACATCTAATACGTGCCTAGTGCTTTTATCTTTGTTCCTCACTATCCTGCAAGGTAGGTATTCTCACTTACAGACGAAGAAATGGACTCAGAGAGATTAGGTGATTAGTGACAATCAGTTGTAACTTAGCACTGTTTGGCTGCAAACCCCTTGCTCCTTCCTTTCAACCAAACTGTTGATTTTCCTTCCTTCCTTCCCTCCTTGTACCACAGGTTCTGTCCTCAAGATACCACCCCACTGGGCAGTATCTGAAGGCAGATCCAGCCCAAGATGGTGCAGAATATACAGTTCAGGGTAAAAGTTCTTCTGGTCTCCTGCTAACAACGTCTTGGAAAAACTGCCTGGGAAGCCATATTATGAGTTAGTACTAGAAGAAGCTGTGGGGGGAACTGAGTTCTGTCTCTAATTGCATTACTTGTGTGTCCTTGAATAGACCCATAACTCCTCCCAGCATGCTTTTGCATCTATAGAACTGAAACTGTAGTTCTAGATAGCACTAAGAGTCTTGGTTCATATTCTGCTGCTGCTGCTTCCCCCCAAGGAAAGGATGAGGTTTCCCTTGATGAGGGATGTTTAGGCTCAAATTCGGCTTACCACAGAGGAAACATTTCTGCTGTAGTTGTTTACCTCCATCCTAGCTGGCAGTGTGGGACACACATACAGCAAGGGAAGGTGGGGTTTTGAGCGTGTATAGAGGTCAGCCACGCTGCAGGCTTTTCTACTCACACCAGCAGGTACAGAGAAAACTAGTGTTTTATAAAGTCAAATATTTGTTGGGGGGTTGGAGTTCTGGGGATGGAGGAGGGGCTGTCCTGGGCATCAGTTGAGCAGATGCCCAGGATGCCTGGGGGAGACCAGCTTCCCCTACAAATCAGAGCTCTAAATTACAAGGTTTTTACCAACGTGAACAGTTGGGGGAAGTCGTCTGCTCTCATTTGCGTAATGGTTTCTGTCACTGGTGATTAGACACAGGATGAAGGAAAAGAAATTTGACAATTAGGAATGAGCAATCATTAATCTGAATCTGTTAGGAGACAGAGAGGGGAAGGATCCTTATCAGTAGGCCAGCCCAGTATGGGGAGACACTCCCTCCCTCTGCCCCCAGAGACTCCTGGGCTACATCCTCTTTGAGTATTGCCACAAATGGGCAGAGCTTGTATTTCATAACAAAAACTCGGGACCCAGTCGCCAGCCTGAGATGGATATAGGAACAGACATCTTTGGGCATGAGCCAACAAAGATAGAAATAGATGGATGTCAAGTACAAGCTATAAGGCAAAGAATAACAATGAAAAAGTTTTGACATGTGTTTGCCATTTGTGGAAAATGTTTTTGTAATAGTCAACACCCCTGATAGCCCACCTGTGACAAGTATTTGTCACATTCCAGCAACTGTAGGGCATGAGGAAAAACTCGTCCTTACCAAATCCCAGGAGCTTCTGCTTAGTTGCAGAAGAAATTACATGAAGCAACCAGAGGTTATAAGGCCACCCATGTATATTGTGCACCCTGTGTGGACAAGATTAGGGACTGTTGAGAGAGGAGGAAACCAGTAGAGAGCAAAGCTCTACCCAGCCTCCTGAAAGCCTCTGGGCTCACCTTAGAGGGCCTCTGTACGCTTCCTAGCAACATTGATGTCCCCACAACCCCACATCAGTGCAGCTGTGGCTGTGTGGAGGGCTTTGAGGCCTTTGGCCCAGATGTGTGAACAGTGCTGAGGTTCAGTAATAGGATGAGTCTTCAGGTGTGGAGCAGCCCACCTTGGCTCTTCCCATGTCTCCGTGTTACTTCTCATCTTCTGCTGTCCTTTCAAACTTCAAGGACAGTATTAATTTACACTAGTATTTGTTCCTCAGTTTTGTGACTTGAATGCAGTGAGTGCCTTAGATGAGAGGATCCCTCAAGGATGAAGGACTGGGGGTTGGTGGTTCTCTCTTTCAGAATGGGAACTTCCCAAAAATGGGGCTGTGTCTCACCTCTCAGTAGGTTCCCTACCTCTGGGTCTTCCACCCTTCAAAATCTCGTACAGAATTTAGCAGGGGCTGCAGGGAATGACCCTCAGGGACCAGTTTGACCCAGATGGGGTAGATGATGAGGTATGCCCAGAAGTAGCTCGGGGCTCCATAGTCTGGCCTTTCAGCTGGTGTCTTACTCCCCTTTGAGACCTCCAGCTGCTTGTCTTCCACTCCCTGCATACTTCTCTGATGTCTTCTCAAACTGCTGGCTCTAAAGGGATATTCCAGTGTCCCTCTGAGAGCTGCCTGCAGTTTCCCTTATTCAGCTGTCCCCTGCCTGCGGCCTCCTTACCAAGACCCTTTTTCCTAAACAGTTGTCCTTCCCTCAGAAACTCCATGGCTGCAAGTGTTGAATAGACTTGTCTTTAGGATCCCTCTCTGGTCATCCCTGTTCATCTTAGGGCCATCTCCCTTTTCTGATTTTTGACAGCTCTGTTTATTTTGCCCATGGCTGCTCCTCTTGTTTTGTGTCTGCTGTGTGTTCTTGCCCTTCTGTTGTCAGTTCTGTACATCCTGGTTCAGCTTGTCTCACTGTGGTAGCCCCTTCTGCTTGTCTTCAGCCATCTCGGTTTAATCCTCATAGGTCATGGATGAATGGAGCCTTGCTGAGCACTTTGAGGGCATTTCTGTTGGGCAAAACCTCAGAAACTGAAAGTTTTGAGGCCTGTGGGCCTGTGGTTAGTGAGGCCTCTGGAGATGGGTTAGGGGTGGGCACCTAGAGAGTAGTAGCCAGTTGAGGGGAGAGGTGCAGTGGTTGCTGCAGAGACTTTGTGAGAATGGCACCAGGCCTGGGAAGCTAGTGCGGAAGAACTGAGCTGTCCGAAGGAGATACCAATATCCCCTTTGCAGGGTGGTGATGGGCATCAAACATGACATATGTAACATGTCCCCTTCTTGGAGGATTTCCATCTAAATGCATCTGTGTGCCTTAGGGACCAGTAGCTCAGGGGTGATGGACTTTTTTGAATGTCTCCTAATTTCTCTCAGGTGTCTTTGGCTCTGTGTCACCAAATGTGCCTGACCTCTGCATCCCAGTAGTTGCTGAAAGGGAAACAGTGTATTGCGTAGTCAGGTGTGAGGAGTAGAGATCTTAATGAGAAAGGCCCTGGCAGCTGGAGAGATGAGAGGACCCAGTGGTCAGCTTATACCCAGACTATCTCTACACTCCTCCAAGAGTTTGAGTCCCATAGCTGATTAAATGGTTTACATATGGGCTCCCCCCCTGCTTTCCTACTTAAAATCTATTCTCTCATATTTTGGGAAGGAGCATGTGGCTTTAACTTTCAATGGTAAACAATCTAGGACAGTGTTTAAAGGCATGGATTTTGGAGTCAGATATAGTTGGTTCGAATTTATAGCTTCACTGCTTTCCAGCTGGGTTTGACCTTGGTTGATTTACTTAACCTCTCTGAGCCTCAGTTTCCTCAACTATAATGACATGGGTGGAGGGAGGCATGTTGAAAATATCTACCTCAGGGTTGTTGGAGTAACGGAAACAATGTTTGTAAAGCTTTAGCACAGTGCCTGGCAAGCACTTAATAAATGGCTGTGGTGGTGGTTATATTTATTATGTGATTTATTCAGGAACTTGGTTTCAGTGATCTCTAAGCAGATTTCCAGTGGTTCTTTCTCTCTCAAGAAAAGCACAGGGAAAAACAAGAAATACCTCAGATAAACCATATTGAGTTGAGGGTAGACAGAAGAGTCTAGTACCTAAACTCACCCTAAAGGAAGAAAAACAGGAAGTGTCTGATGTGTCTTCTGCCTGGGCAGCCAGACTTTACTGCTGTACTACCAGCCCAGGGCCTTGGGTGAGAAGGTTTCAGGTCTGAGCTCCCCTTGCACTGTGTGAGAGGCCGTGGAGCCAAATGAGTCCTTGTTACACCTGGAGAAGCTGTTGTCCCCTCACACCATGAAATGCAATAGCAGTCAAATCAGGCCCCACTCGATTCAGTTTTAGTCCATGCCTTTCCGTGTATTTAAATTGTAAGTGTTGGCCAGGTGCGGTAGCTCATGCCTGTAATCCCAGCACTTCGGGAGGCTGAGGCAGGAGGATCACTTGAGCCTAGGAGTTCGAACCAGCCTGGGCAGCATAGGGAGATCCCAGCTCAATAATTTTTTTTTGAAAAATTAAAAAAAATTACAAGTATGGATCAGATGCCTGGGAGGATTACCTCACACCTGTAATCCCAGCACTTTGGGAGGCTGAGGCGGGTGGATCACCTGAGGTCAGGAGTTTGAGACCAGCCTGGCCAACATGGTGAAACCCTGTCTCTACTAAAGATACAAAAATAACCGGGTGTGGCAGCACGTGCCTGTAATCCCAGCTACTTAGGAGGCTGAGACAGGAGAATCACTTGAACCCGGGAGGCGGAGGTTGCAGTGAGCTGAGATCGCGTCATTGCACTCCAGCCTGGGTGACAACAGTGAGACTCCCTCTCAAAAAAAAAAAAAAATTTACAAGTGTGTTAAGATTGTTCTAGGGGAGAAGGGCAATCAGAAAATTCAGAAAAATATGAGTGGGATGTTAATAGCTACCATTTGTTGAACACTTCTGTTCCAGGCACTGTATTAGTTCTTCCCTGTGTGGTGCGCTCAGATCAGTGGGGGAGACAGGCAGGCAATTAGAATTATGGTATATAGAGGAGAAGCATCGCACCATGTCCAGTTATGGTAGGCTTCCTGCAGAAAGTGGTAAGTCCAAGCTGATATCTGGAAGATGAATAATTAACCAGGAGTTGGGGGGTTTCCCCCTTAGCTTCTCTTTCTTCTAGCCCAACAGTCCAAAACAAACACTGCTTCCCAATGCCTAACAGTTTTGTTGTACAACAGGGAATGGGTGAGACAGTAGATCCCAAAAAGAAAACCCCTTGGTTAGTCACAGAAATCTGAAAGTCTTGGTTGCTGGCTCAGATTTGTCCTGGAGTGGACATAGATTGGACTTGCTCATTTGTAGCCCTCCACCGTTCTCATCTGTGTTCTGGCCTCTGGAACACCCTATCAGACCCTACTTGGAAGAAATGTTGAATCAAGTTACTCAGACTTCAGCTTGAGATGTATTATGGCTGGCTGGAATTCCCATCCCCTTTCATGATCCCATTAATCTTCTCTTGGGTCCATCCCCACCCCCAGCCACCTCTCCTCCTCACTATAAGCCAAGCCTCCCTGCAGTTCTCTATAAATACTGAGATCCTCTTGCCTCAGACCCTGGTCCCTAACCTTTTGGGTGAAGAAGATACCTCTTTAGCTTGTGCCAAGCCATCCCTCTGGGCTACAGGCCATTCTGTAGTCACCTTGCAGTCACCTCTTTCCTTCTAGATAACTGGCTCTGGGCCTTGGAAACCTCTTTGGCTCTAATTTTGCTAATTTTGCCGTTTCATTCAGTTTACTTAAAACCTATTCACTTGGTCATTGAGGTCAGAATATCAGGAAAGCTCTGCTCCTTAACCCATCATCTAAGCCAAGCCTGGGCCAGGTTTTTGTTACCTCTTGAATATATATAGTGTGATACAGTGTAGTGGTTGAGAATGGAGTCTGCATACCTGGATCTGCCATTCTGCATGACTTTGGGCAAATGACAAACTGCCCGAAACTTGACTTGTTTGTATGTATGGAGAAGACATCATTTACATTGTCAGGGTAAGGCTTAGCAGAGTGACTGGTCCATAGCAAGGGCTCAGTCTTTCTGTGTCTCAGTCTCTCTCTTCCCCCTCTGGCTTTCTGACTAAGGTCGTGTTTCTAGTCTCAGGGCATATCTAGTTGTCAGCTCCTGAGCAGAGCAGAGGTATAAGCATCAACTCATGCTCGTGTTACCAGTTCCTACCCCTGTCAGTAACCTCTGATGCTTACAAGGACACTATCACCTATGCCATCACTGGGGTACGACCTTCCAAAAATATTTTTAACAATATTAAAAATACCTGAAACATAATGGGTGAAAATAAGACATTGGAGCTGCTGCTCCCCAAGGAGATAAAAGGACAGTTCCTAAAGAGGCATTGAAGGTTTGTGTGAGCCAGCAGCACAGTCAGAAGGCATGAAGGAGACCCTGGGATGTGTACAGGGATGCAGGAGACAAGGAGATTGTCACAGAGGCTGCCATACTAGTAAGAGTCAGAGGTTACTGACGGGTAGAGATAGTCACAGAGGCTGCCATGCTAGTCTAGAGTTAGGACCATGGGTTTAAGAACGTTGCCTCCAAGTTTTTGAATTGTGAATTTTTGATCATATTATTTGAACAAAACCCCACCTACTTTACAGTCTGCATGGTCATTGTTCTCACAAGGGTTTGTGTGATGCACTGACAAGAACAGAGGCTTTGGAGGTGACTCCTGGGTTTGAATCACAATTTGCCACTTGCTAATTCTAACCATAGGTAAGTCAATGTCTCTGGGTCTCCACCTCTTCCCCTTTGAGGGGTAGGAAATAGCACATAGCTTGTAGCATTGTTATGAGGGCTTGTGATAATGTTTTTAAAACACCTGGCTCAAGCACTCAAGAAAATGTTTTATTATAAAGACTAAGTGTCTCTGAAAAGTGTTTCATTAGTGTCTGGAGAGAAACTACAGCAGCAAGCCTTTTCTGATCCTACCCTGACTCTCAAGGTACGGTGCTTGAAGTCAAATCAAAGAGATGACTGGGGCAGGAAAAGCAAGATGGGAAAGATAAAGTTGTGGAAGGGACTGAAGGTCCATGAAGTGCTGGGCTGGGGACAGAAAGGGTTTAATAGGGCAGGGTCTTGAGGAACAGGAACAGAGACCTTGGTTCTGAGTTGCCAACTGATTCCCAGAAGAATAAAGGAAATGGGGCAAGAGGATGTCTGTGGAGGACACAGTGTGGCTGAGTGGAGAGAACACAAGCTTCTGGCCAGTGAACCTAAGTGAGAATGTTGATGGACTTTGCACAGGCTGGGTGCCTTTGGGGGTGTTCATCTCGCTATGCTTCGGTCCCCTCATTTTAAAAAATTGGTTAATAATATGGCGACTTGACAATGTGTGTGGAAATACTATGTAAACTGAGCACTGTATAAATTTTAGTTGTTGAGATGTTGGGAGTGGGGGTTTCAGGAGTTTTGTTTTTTGTTTTTTTTTTTTTTTTTTTAAGACGGAGTTTTGCTCTTGTTGCCCACGCTGGAGTGCAGTGGCGTGATCTTGGCTCACTGCAACCTCCACCCCCTCCAATTTCAAGCAATTCTCCTGCCTCAGCCTCCCAAGTAGCTGGAACTACAGGCATGCGCCACCATGCCTGGCTAATTTTGTTTTTTTAGTAGAGATGAGGTTTCTCCATGTTGGTCAGGCTGGTCTCGAACTCCTGACCTCAGGTGATCCTCCCGCCTTGGTCTCCCAAAGTGCTGGGATTACAGGCGTGAGCTACCACGCCCAGCCCTGGATTTCTTAGTAGGTCCTCTTATGTGGCTATTGAGAATGAATGAGACAACTCAAGTGAAACAGTTAATTCAGAGCTTAGTGCCTAGTAAAGTGCTCAATAAATGTTAGTTTCTTTTCCTCCATTTCTTCTTAGGAAGCATCGTTTACCCAGCATAAACAGAAGGACTCAACTGTGCATGTCTTAGTGTGAACAAGTAGCATCAGATTTCCCTTTTCTGAGGAGAGATCAGTTCTCTAAGAGGGAGCATGAGTGTGAATGAGGAAGAATCATGGAGAAGGGAGCAGGACTCCACAGTATTGGAGACGGAGTAGGGACTTCTAGGAATTGTTGGCATGGGCGTGCAGTGCAGAAAGGGTGATGCTAAGAGGTGAGAGTCTCAAGAAAGAAGATGGGTGTTCTAGAGGGGAAAACTGAACGATGAGAGGCAATGAGGAGCAGAGGACAAGACCCTCAACTAAGGGTGAGGAGACCAGTGTTCTGTCAGGAGAACCTTAGGAATTGTGACCAGAAGTCAAAGTTGTTAGAGCAATACTGCATTCAACCAGGTTTCATTTTAAAAACTTAAGAGTTGCTGGGCACAGCGGTGCACACCTGTAATCCCAACTCTTTGGGAGGCTGAGGCAGGAGGATAGCTTGAGGCCAGGAGTTTGAGATCAGCCTAGGCAGCATAGTGACACCCCATCTCTTGAAAAAACAAAAACTCTTAAGAGCGGTGGTTCACCTAGAAATAAAAAGCAGAAATCATCAAGATGAGAAAACATTTTGTGTTTCGAGAGCCAAGGAAATTTGCCACTGAGACAAGGTATCTGACAGCCTAGATGGGATTCTAGACCTCTGTGAGAAAGTGCAGTTAGGCCCTGAATAGCGTCAAACTCAGGGATATGAGCTGGCTGACTGCCTTTTTATGTAATGGAGGCCATGTGATAGGGCTTTATGAGGCCACAAATAGCGCTTTCTGGGTCCTTTCACAGTCTAGTCAGTGGCCCAACCAACATTTCTGGTAGTTCTGCAATCTCAGTCATCTGAGAAGATAACCTCCAAAATACGTGCAGTGGCATCAGTTGTTTCCTTGGTAGGTGTGCATCTTTTAATGATGGAGGACTTAGGATGAAGAACAGGTGTGTAAAAACATCAAACCCCCACATCATTACTATTTGCTATAAGGGCCTATGCAGTTTG